GGGAGCGCTGGTGTTGGGCGGGAGGGGAGGGGGCTGTCTGCAGGTGGGGGCACGGGCCCCTCGGGCTGCCTCGATTGTAAGGGTTTCCCCTTCACTTCTTTCTTCCAAGCAGAAGTTGGGGAAGAAAAGAGGGAAAAAGGAGAAGGACCTGACCCAGGACAGGTGCTGTCCTCACGGCTGATGCTGGCCCTGCTCTCGCCGGGCTCGTCCGGCCCCCTCCCCCTCTGCTCGGAGGGGAGCCTGCCCCCGTCTTGGCAGGGGCTGAGTGGGGTGTGAGCTCCCTGATGCCCCCCTACCCCCAGGACCCTGGACTCGCTGTATGAGGAGCTGGCGCTGCAGGGCATCCTCAGAAAGCCCCAGCCCGTGCCGCTGGCTGACTACACCGGTGGGCCCCGCCTGGGGTGGGAAGGGGGCCGGGCCTAGGCACAGCCCCGTGGTGGGTTGCTTGGGGGCAGGGGTTGGTGTCAGGGGGTGGGAGCTGCCCCTATTGCCCCTTGACCCCTGCTCCCCCCCCGCAGGTGACTTCAGCTACCTGGGCAGCACGCTGCGCGCGGCGGGGGCCGAGCCCGCGCCCTCGGTGCTGGACGTCCGGCAGAACGTGGTGCTGTACGCCATCCTGCGCCTGGGTAGGGGCAGAGCCAGGCCCGCCCCCAAAGCCGACCCCCTGCCCCAGCCCGGGGCAGCAGCAGGGCTGGGGTGGGGTGCAGGGCTCGTGCCGTGCGTTGGCTGGGGGGATGCATGGAGGTCCAAGCTGTGTGCAATGTCCTGTGGAGGGGTGGGTGTTCCCGTGGAGGGGTGCCAGGCACTGCTGGGGTACTCTGCCACCTGCGCTGGGATCAGATACAGACCCCCCACGGCCCCTAGGGTCACCCACGGTGCACGAGCTGGCACCACAGGTGAGGTCCCTCCTGCTGGCTGGCCCTGCGGGCACCGGGAAGAAGATGCTGGTGCACGCCGTGTGCACCGAGACGGGCGCCAACCTCTTCGACCTCTCCCCCGAGAACCTGGTGGACAAGTACCCGGGGAAGGCCGGCCTCAGCCTGCTCATGCACATGGTCTTCAAGGTACCGGTGGGGCTGGGAAGGAAGCTGCAGCAAGCTGGGAGCTGTTTCCCCCGTGCC